ATAAAATAAAGGTATCATGTCCATCTACAACTAAAAATATTTTAAAAAGGAAAAGAAAAGAAATTTTTGTTGTTTAAGCCACCCAGTGTGTGAAACTTTGGTATGGCAGCCTTACCAAATGAACGTAGGCTGGGGAGAGGAAGTGTCCTAACTGGATAAGAATCCACAAATATTATTAACTCTATCCTAAAAATATGAATTCCCAAAATAAAATACGTTGTTTTATAGGTGGGATTATGCCTTACCCAATGCAATCATAAAATCTAAAAATCATAACAAATATTTACAATGGAAAAAATAAGAAAAATGTGAAAGGATACAATATTTACAATTAGAAAAGGATAGAAATATAAGCAGTGTCGGCTTTGAGGAAAATCAAGAAGATAAAGAAAATCCAACTAAAAAATAAATGAATAATTCAAAAACAATCTGGTCAAGCGAGAGAAATTAATGGGGACAAATTTGGATAATTCTCTGGAATTAAAGAGTTGTGTTTTAATATTTGAGCCAAGAGAATCCTTAATGATTAACAAAAAAAAAAAAAATTTGAGACATCAAGTCAAAAGGCATTTAAAAAGGGTTTTAGTGAAATTCTGGGTTTTTGTAGGTTTCTTTTCTTCCTTTTTTTTTTTTTTTAAACAAACATTTAATAGTTATTAGCAATTCCACACATACTACTTTGGACCTTCACCTAGAATGATAGAAGCTATAGATCCCAACAGAAGAGTAGGGTAGAGATGAAAGATATTCTCTAACTTGGAATTACAATAAGGGAAACCTGCTCCTTGGTGCCAGGCCCATCAAAGTTCAGGCAAATCAGAAGTAAAAAAAAAAAAAAAAAAAAAAAGGCTAGAGTACAAATGTATCATTTTATGGTGAGATTTTTAATGTTTTTAAAAGTTTCCTTAACGTTTTAACATCAATATTTTTAAAGTTACATTTCACCTGAAGTTGTACAATTTTTTCCTTTTGAGATATATATTGCTTCCCTTTCAGTGTAAAACTATTACTGATATCACACCATCCCTTTGTTTTCTATAGTATTTGCATGATTGATAACATGTTCTGAAATATATCCTCTTTGTCACTAGTGCCATTAGCATTAACAGTACAAAATATTGAAAAAGCTCTCCAACTGTTTAAGTGTAAGACTTTGCAAAACAAACTTAAATGCTGCTGTATAATTCTCTGAAAAAGCGCATTAAACTTTGTTGGCACTGGATACAAAATAAAATTTCAAAATTTGCATTTTCAGTACTTTTGCTTTCTTGACCTTTATTTGAATTTGAGACTAAGCTTTACCAAACAACAGAATTTACACAGTAACTAGCCAACCACAGTCCTCATTATGGAATCTATGCAGCGCATTTGTTACCTAGGAAACAGACCAGAGCCCAGGCAGAGTGCAATTTCAGTCTAGCAAAAGAATTCTCCAATCATGCTAGTAAATAAAGTCCATAAATCAACTAATCAGAAGCAAAGTCAGGAAGTATCACATAAGAGTTAAGCTCTATGGAAACTTTTTTAAAGAAAAAAGAGAAACCTGTAGGGCTTCTTTGGGCAACTAAATAGATCTCTTAAGTAAATATTATGAGCAGGTTTCTTTACAAACACAAACTGTCATAAAATAAACTGTTCAAAATAAATGGCTTCTCTCCAATCTTCAGCTTCTCTATTTTTGACAGTATTTAAAAGAAAAAGCTTCTTTGGAGCCAGCCTCATACATCTGGTACCAGAATATTAATCCAAGAATGAATTCTGCATTTTCAGCAAGCAGCCTGGGCTCTTGCTGTTTTTAAACAATGCAGGTTAAAAGAAGCTGGAATAAGAGTTGACTTCCACACCTCTCAGGTCAGACCTACTTCCCCATCCAGCTATAAAAACAACATGAAAAAAGGACTTGAAAGTCAAAGATCTATTATAAAGAACACAACTGTTACTTTCCAGTTTTCTATTTGATTATTACCAATACTAACACTAATCATTTGATGGTTCCAGTTATCAAAGTGGCTATTTTTAAAGTATCCTTTAATAGTATCGGCAATATATTGGTAATTAACAAAGAAGAAAATGCCAGAAAAATCTATGGACTTTAAAGCTGATAAAATTTAATTGCAGGGGCTGGGGATGTGGCTCAAGTGGTAGCACGCTCGCCTAGCATGCGTGAGGCACTGGGTTCAATTCTCGGCACCACATAAAAATAAAAATAAAGATATTGTGTCCACCTAAAACTGAAAAATAAATATTTTAAAAAATGTAATTGTGGACAGCTTAGTGTTGTCTTAAAAATCTGATGTCAGCTGTATTTTAAAATCCAATTTTACACAAATCCAAAATTTTCTGGAAATATTATTTATAAAAATGTAAAAAGCAACAGGAAAAAAATTGACCTGTGAAAAATGGAAGATATGGCTAGGGTTGTGGCTCAGTGGTAGAGTGCTTGCCTAGCACCCATGAGGCACTGGGTTCAATCCCCAGAACCACATAAAAATAAAAAATAAAGATACTGTGTCCACCTAAAAATAAAAAATAATTTTTTAAAAAAGGAAGATAATTTATATCCCTTCCTGAACACCAATTACCAAATGGGAAATAAGTTGAATGTATGTAATATTTTCTAGGATGTTTCTGATTATATCAAAATATTATAACACAAACACCTAAAATAGTATTTACATATCAATAAAAAAAAACAAACTAAAAACTAGATATTATCTTTTAGGCCACATAAAGGCACCATAGTGCTGATCAAGAAAACTGTCAGGCGCAACTACAATTTCCCAAACCAATTCTCAATACAGGCCACACTTTGTTAATGTTTAGTTTACACAGTGATTCTTTGTTAAATCTTATCACTATCACTGACAGTCTGGTAAATGCATAAACAAGCAATTCAATTTGTTAGCTTATCTTTTTTAGTACTTCAACCAGCTTAAGAGCCAGAATTCTGAGAATGGTCTAGAACTCCCTTCCACAATTCATGATAAAGCCACACATAATTTTAGTATCTCTCCTCTTTGGACTATTCATAATGTAAAGGGGTGTGGGAAGAACATTGGTCAACGGCCCTACCAGAGCCACTCATTAAGCTCTGTGCAGAGTTTAAATTCATTTGCCTAATCTAGACCGGAAGTCACAGCAAGATCTATAAAATTTGATCACCTCAAAGAGGTTTGCTGGGTCATTGTTCCATGAAGCCTATTCTGGGTTTTAAGTAAAGTGTGTATAAATGTACAGTCAGGCATTTATAAAATGAGTCATGATGATAATATTAATCTATTAATGTAACTGGGGCAGAACTGAGGATAAAATTTTCTCCTAGAAAAAGATCACTATTTTAGGCATATTAAACTTTGGTATACTATTAAACTTTGGTATACTAACAAAAATTAGTTTGCCTAGATAAAAATGCATTAAATTGTATTTTTCTGATTAATTTCTTCACCTTACTTGATGGAAATTTAAATAACAAGTATTTTTCTACTTTTTTCCCTTCAAGTTTAGATGATGATGCTTTTCTGAAAAGAAACTCCACTTGCTCCAAATGCCTGTACCTATAATTGTCCAATTTTGCTCCTCAAAACTGCTTAAAAAAAAAAAAATCTCCTTGTTAACTGTCAGATTTAAGTTTGTCGATATGAATTCTCATATAGTAAAAGAAAAAAGTTTCCAGAACTAAGCATCAGATTGAGATTAATATAAAGATAAAACTCCACACCTACATTAAAAATCTGAATCCGTCAAATTCATTTTCTGGATGCTTACTGAACTTCATTTATTATTTCAGCATCTACAAATATATAGCAACTGTTTACAAAACAACTTAGCCATCTAAGAGATCAGAAATGTCACCCTACGGTACTTTTCAAAATACTATACATAACAACTTCATCTTTGGTTATATTCACAGAATATATAAATGCATTCAATAAAATAAGAGAAATATAATCACAGGGGGAAAAACTCAATTCTAATATTCACGTTCTCCCCATATGTGAAAGATCTCATATCTTCAACCAGTGAAGGGAGGATTTTTAGCCTAAACGTTAGACTAGAACCTTGCTTATTGCATTCCAACATAACCCCCACCATGGAGGCTGTCACTACCTGTCTCGTCTGTAACAGTACCATATTCTCATGTTAATCCTAACAGTGTGTGTGTGGCGGGAAGGGGGGGGGGGACAAAACTTTACTCCAAAACTTCAAAACAAAAACAGAAATGTAATCGTAAAAATCGTAATCACACTCATTTTTCCAAGTATCAATCTAATCTTTTTCAAAAAATTGGCTACAGAAAGCCAAAAGCAGTCTGTGATTTGGGTCTTATTTTGATTTGATGTTGGTCAGCCCAACCTCCTCCTACCCAGGGGACTACGTTCCTTGATATATTTGATAACAAACACAAATCACTGTGCGCAGCCTCAGATGGGGGTGGGGGACGGAAGAGCCTTTCGGAGAAAGCCCTCCTCCGTTAGAAACAATAAATAAGGGAGCGCAGCGGTGCACGTTCCTTCACACACGCCCCAAACGCACCTCGGCGAGCCTCCGCGGAGGGAAACAAGTCCCACGAAGCCCTGAACCACCTCTCTTTCTCCATGACCATCTCGGACTTGGAAAGTAGGAGGGCAGACCTCTTCTCCTCCTTCCCGCCCTCCTTCCCACCTCCTCAGACCCGCGAGCAGGAGCAGGGAGCCAGACCCCAGCAGCGCGCCCGCGGCGGCCACGGGAGATGCCAGGCGCCTGGCCCGGGAAACGCCGCCGCCCGCTCGCGAGCGTTCCCGCCCGCCCGGTCTCCGCCCCCAGATCCAGAACCCCAAGCCCGCGGCCGCCGACGTCCGGCCGCGCGGGTCTGTGCCCTCGCTCTGGCCTCGCTCCCCCAGAGGAGACAAAAGGAGGGTTCAGCCGGGTCACTGCGCGGCCGCCCCCACACAAAGGGGCTCCCTGCCCGGGTCGCCGCGTCGGCGCGCTAGTCCCCGCCCCGCGCGCGGGTTCTCACCCACCTGCAGGTGTCTGTGCGTCTGTCCATAGGAACGCGGGCGGCTGGGGGCCTGCGGGAGCCGGGCAGCCCCGGCTGGACGGGGCGGGACGGAGGGGAGGGGGCAGGAGGGCGGCCGGAGGGCCGGGCACCAAAGGCAAGTGGAACGAAGAAAGCGCCCGCGGGCGGCAGAAGGCGGTGCTGGCTGGGGGTACGGGCGCCAGCCTGGCTCGGCCACCAGCGTGCGCCGCTCCTCGCGCCCCGGGCTCCGCGCGCCCGGCTCGGAGCGCGGGGGGCGGGGCGCGGGCGGGGCGGGGCCGGGCGCGGGGCGGGGGCTCGGACCCCGGGCTCCAGCCGGCACCGGAAGCGCGCCGTGGTCGGCGAGACCCACAGGAAGTGTGTAACGACACCTCCTACGACGTGCACCGCGCTCGCAGGAGTCGCTGCCCGGAGGTGGTGCGGACCGACCGTCCTGCAGCACACACGCGCGCTTGCCGCGGCGGGCGCGCTGGACCGAAAGGTTTGGGACAACCCGTCGTACGCGCGCGGGAGTTAGTTCCCACCGCCCGAACAGGTGTGGGAGCCACGTTCTGAGGTGCCAGCCCCGCCGCCGTCACACACCGCGGGCCTGAGGTCCCTGCTGTCTTCTAGTGTCTCACACCCCAACCTAAAAGCAGGGAGCTGACAGAACCTGCCCCGTTTGTGACGTGCGTGGCACCTGTTATGAAGCACTAAGTAGAGTCCCCTCCACACCCAGGGATGTGCTGGAACACTTCTGTCCGACGTTCTGCCACACAGCTTACCGTCACTGCTACCCCATGGAGATGTCTAACATTCACCTGTGACACACCTATCCCACCGAGGGACGGGGACTGTTTAGTAGCATCTAAAGCTCACACCAACTAATGTTAGAGCACCCCAGGGACACCAGACCACTCTCACAGGACAGGGCACAAGAGAGGCAAGATTGGACCTTTATTTTATCTAACAAAACACTTCCACAGCACTTACCAAGAACTTAATATTAATTTATTTAATTCTAAGAACTCTAGGAAGTGGGTGCTGTTAGCATTACCATTTTTTGAATAAGGAAACTGAGGCCTAGAAAAATTAAGAAATCTGTTCAAGATCATATAAAAAGTAGCTAGAGGGAAAAAAAAACAAAAGTAGCTAGAGGAACCCAGATTCATCCCAGGCAATCAGGTTCTAGAGTCTATGCTCTTAATTCCCATTATATTCACAACTCTATGTTCAAAACAATAATGTTTGCAATATGCAACATTTGCAATATGTCTGATGAACCTTATGTGATGCCCACATCTTGGCCTCACTCCATCTAGTACAGTAAAGCCTTAGTTACTCCTACCTTTAAGGTAGATAATGGAAGAGTATGACTGAACAAAAGAGAAAGAATCCAAGGTCATCCCAAATCTGGGCAGCTAGCTTGCACTGCCCCATTAGTAAATTATCTTATATGTCAGCCCTTCTCAATCTAGAGACCATTCAGGTTGATAATACCATCCCATATCAACACCCTTCCTGGGCTAGAGTGAATGAAATTAATGTGTTAATGTTTTTGATACTTTTGAACAAAAAGCTAACACAAATCTCATAGTTAATTCCAAAGATGTGATCCTGTGGAGAAATTGGAACCCTTGTGTACTACTGATGAAAATGTGAGAAGGTACAACCACTAGGCAAAACAGTATGGAGGGGCCTCAAAAAATTATAAATAGAATTACTGTATGATCCAGTGAATCTCACTTCTGAATATATCCAAAAGAACTGAAGGCGGGGCTGGGATTGTGGCTCAGGGGTAGCGCGAGACCCAGGTTCAATCCTCAGCACCACATAAAAATAAAGGCATTGTGTTGTGTCCATCTAAACCTAAAAAATAAAAGTAAATATTAAACAAAAAAAGAAAAAGAACTGAAGGCAAGGTCTTTTTTTTTTTTTTAATGGTTCACTATATTTTTATTTATATACACATTTTCGTGTCCCAAGGGCAAGGTCTTAAGAGTTGTCAGCACCCTATGTTCACTGCAGCATTATATACAATACCCAAGAGGTAGAAGCAACCCTGCCGGATGCGTGGAATGGATAAAGAAAATGTGATATATATTTACAATAAAATATTATTCAGTGCTAAAAATAGGAAATCTGTCACATGCTATAATATGGAGAACTTGGAAGACATTCTGAGTGAAATAAGTCATTATATATATGCAGCTGAGACCACACACACGCCACTTGCCCAACTTTTGTTTTAATTTCGTTTTTTCTTTAATTTTTCCCCCGTGTGCTAGGTATAGAACTGAGGGCCTTGAGCAAGCACTCTACCACTGAGCCACATCCCCAGTCCCGTGGCTTCTAATTTGGTCTTAAAGTCTCTCTATAGAGTGATCATAGCTGAAATGGCCACCTATTTTAGGAGAGTCCTGACCAGGGGAAATTTAGTTTCAAGTGTGTTAGATAAGACATAATGAGGTGAAAACAAAATGGATGAAACACAAATTTATTACTCCCAGATCCTAGGAAAGTCAGAAGTGCTGACAGATTGACATGAAGTCTGGGGGCAGGAAGCAGCTTGTTGAAGCAGGTAAAGAAGAAAAAGACAAGAGATTGAGAGAAGTGAAATTATAGGACTATGCATTTATTAAGGACTACGGGCATTATGTCCTAGACTTTCTGAGGGAGTTATGAATTGGCTGGTTTAAAGACAATAATTGCAAAAGGGGAGAATTTATTTACAGAACTCTGGTATTGCCTATTAAGTTTTATCGTGGCCAGCAGCTGTGGGATATGTTGGGTTTTGGGTCACTGGGATGAGGGAAAAGTTGGTTATATCACAAACTACCACACAGGGAGAGGAAGTTTTAACTAGGTCAAAGATGACAGGGTACAACTGGGTTCCAGATAACTTATATCAGGCCTAAAAATGGGTATCTAAGCAGCAACTGTATTAAATTAATGACACTGCCCCAATGCTATGACACTGTTTGTCAGCTTTTCATCACTGTGACCAAAATGCCTGACAAGAACAAGTTAGAGAAGGAAAAGTTTATTATGGCTTATGGTTTCAGAGATTCAATTCATGGTTGGTCAACTCCATTGCTGTGAGCCTGAGGTGAGGTAGAACGTCATAGCAGAAAGGTATGGCAGAAGAAAACTGCTCAGCCCATGGCAGCTGAGAAACAGGAAGAGCAAGGAGCCAGGGACAAAATGTAACCCTCAAAGGCACACCCCGGTGACCTACTTCCTCCAACCACAACCACACCCCACCTGCCCACAGTTACCATCACATAGCCCAACCAAATTATCAATCCATCAAATGGACTGATCCACTGGTGAGGTTATAGCTCTCATAATCTACAATCATTTCACCTCTGAACATTCCTGCATTGCCTAACACCTGAGCTTTTCTAGGGACTTTAAAGATCCAAACCATAAGAAACATGGATGAACCTTAAAAACATACTAAGGAAAAATTAGTCACAAAAGGTCCTACATGATTCCATTTATATGAAATATCCAGATTAGGCAAATCAATAGCAAAAGAAAGTAGGTTTTTTTTTTTTTTTAACATATCTTAAATAGAATACATACTGCAATTAGTTGAATTACATTAATATTTTCCTGAAGATTACTATATCTGAAAAGCTAGTTAACAAAATGAAAAACTTTATTCCATTAGTTTTTACAAGCAGTATTTATTAAGCAGTTTACTTGTGTGAAGAGCAGATATTTTCTATAAAATAAGCTTATAAAAATCCAAAACATTAAGATTTACATTAGTATACAATCCAAAATTTAAAATTTTAACACAAATTAGCTTCAATTTATATCAGAAGAAAATTGATCATTAAAATGGTCAATTTTACTGCTTTATCCTGATTGGTTGTTCATAATATGTACTTTTTTTTTCTTACTAGAAGACAATGAAAGAGATATAAGGCTCAGAGGAAAACCCCTCAAAATATAGAAAACAGAATGTCTTAGAAATCTACTTAGTGAAGTCTATATTTGATTGGCTACCTGGTTTTGTTTTGTTTTGATTTTTAAGTAGCTATACCATTTTCGTACTTTTTGTTTTTTTTTTCAGCACTGGCAATTGCACCCAGGTAATGTTCTACCACTGAGATATATCTGCAACCCTTTTTTATTTTGGGACAGCCTCTTGCTAAATTGCCCAGGCTAGCCTCAAACTTATGGTCCTCCTGCTTCAGCCTCCCAAGTCACTGGGATTATAGGCATGAGCCATTGCACCATTAGGCTGGCGCTTTCAATTCGATTTTGAGTCTTATAGAATCTATTTTTTTCCAGAATAGACATGCACATTTTTAACATACAATAGGGAAGACAACAACATTAGATTTTTAATTGTTGAGGTTTTTTTTTTTTTTTTTTTGTTCT